CTGCACGGGGGTGGGGAAAATGACTGTTTTGCTTTTTGAATTTCAAGCAAGCAGTTTGCCTTTGGGTGCTTTAGGCCAGGAAAAGACAGTACCCATCAGAAGAACCCCTTCCAGGACTGGAAGTTAAAGGGAGCCAGCAAGTAGTCAGCCTGGTATGCTTGCTTGTGGTGACCCCCTGGGTCCACTCAATAAGTGGAAGTGGAGGAAGTGCAGCAATAAAGAGATGGGCTGAATCTGGACATGTTCCTTTGGCACCTGTTGACCTAGCCCACAGAGGCTAGGGATGAGAGACAGAGAGAAAGGGCTGGCTGGTCTGAAGAGTCGGGAGGTGTGTGGACTCCCAAGCCTGTGGCTGGTTCCCACTGCCTTGTCTATAAGGATTAGGGATGAGCTGACCAGAACCTGACTGAATGAAGAGAAAGATGTTTAACACAGTGAGCTGGTGTAGATTGCTGTAATTTGATGGTTTGCTCTGGACTGGACTTTGCTTATGGATGCAGATGCTGCAAATTGCAACAGGAATAGAAGATTCTTCAAGACCAAGGAACATGCTTGTCTCCTCAGAGTACTGGTTTGATAGGGAGAAGCAATTTAAATATTGGTTATTTAAAATGGGAAAAGATAAAAGCACAAAGTGGCTGGCTTACACACTTTCATGGGTGTGCTTACACTCAAAATGAAGGGGACAAGGGAGAATCCCCACTGAATATATTCCTCTTTTCCTGATGGGTCTAGGGAAGAGAGGGGAAGATACAGATAGGATTATATGATTCAGTCGACAGTGTTGATTGTCAACAGGGCTAACTGTGATTGTAAAAACTGAAATTGTGGAAGCTGTAAGTGTGAAAGAGCGGACTAAGGGGGAGGCCCTGCTGGACTGGACTACAGTGGCCCAACCTAAAGTTCCGTGAAGGTTTTCTTTGCTGATAGATCTTGAGGCCAGAGCAAGGGAATAATCTTCTCTTGGTTAAGTTTTATCAGAGGCCAGAAAGGGTGAAGATGAGACGAACTTTTGGAGAACCTGACCAAATCAGATGGACACCTGCAGCGGACCTGAATGGCTGGTATCTGAGTAACCTCACCCTGAGGACTCTTTACCCTACTGAAGGACTAATTGTTAATGACTGTTTGGGACTGGTAAAATGATTGGGAGGGGGAGGTTAGTCCTTCAGGTATGAAATGGTCAATGGCTAGAAGAGCCAGGAGGTGGCCTGTGGTGCAGTGGATTACTTAATACGGCCCTTCTGGCTATAGTTTTTGTAGTTCCCACAAAATGACTGGGTGGGACTATGCAAATGAGGTGCTTGTGGCCCAACACGGGTGTTGGATAGCTTGCTGATAATGCAAATAATGTTCATGGCACACTTTTGGAGGTGGGACCATGAAAATAAGGTGTATGGAACCCTAACGAGAGGATTGGCCAGTTTTGCCATCCCACTAAGCTTAAAGTGAGACAGAGAGAGAGAGAAAAAAAGAGAAGGGAGTTATAACACGGAAGACAGAGAGAGGCAGCAGAACCAGGACAGAGAAGGAGAGCTGTAACACTAGAATCAGTGAGAAGCAGTGGCAAAGAAACAGTGGCAGCAGAACCAGGAGACTGGCAGGAGACCTGTAGGAGATGGAGCAGTGGGCTTCCAGGCCCATGGTATTAGAAAGCTGAGTGTCCCCGGGCAGAAGGCTTGCTGGCAGAGTAGGCTGCCTCAGGTACTTGGTGGAACTAGGCTTGCCGACCCAGGGAGCTAGACCTGAGCACCTTCTGGCTGAGGCTTACTGGCAAGAGTGGGGTGTCTCTGGACACTTACTGGCAGAGCTAAAAGAACTTTGTAACACTTGCTTGAGCAGAGCAGCGGCTGAGGGGTCAGAGAGAAGTGTGCCTGAGGGTACAGCTGAGAAGAGGCTGTTCTGATAGAGAAACTGTATCCTGAGCATTCCTGAACCTGAATTATAACCTGTTACTTCCCTAATAAACTCTGTAATGGTTGAGTATGGTCTGCGAGTTCTGTGTGGCCATTGCAACAAATTATCGAACTCAGCAGAGAAGTAAAGAATGCCATGGGAGGGATGGTTGGTGTCAGAATTGGTAAAGATAGCAGAGAGAGGAGGCATATCTGACCTCTGTCTCATAGGAATCAGCCTTCACTGCTGGTTTTGATTCTCTTTCCCCGTTGTGAAGTTAGAGGAGGTCAGATGCTGCCCCCACATCATTTTTACAAGGGAGCTCTAGATTAGTAGATCAGTGGTGGGGGCCTCTAAGGTTATTTGGGGGGATAAAAGAGACTTTGCAGGTATCAAAAGTGAGTTGGGAAAAAATGAGGCAAAAAAGTGTGTTGGTATAGAGCCTAGGAGACCATATCCAGTTATCCATTTATATATTATTTAATGGTTAAAAAGCATATTCATGCTCACTGTCTCATTTTATCGGAGCCTCATAAGTTCAGGAAGGTGTTTTCCCATTTTACAGTAGAGGAACTAGAAGCTCAGTAGGTCATCCAATATCAAGTCCTGAACTTGCCCCTCTTCAATGTGTGTGCAGGGGTGAGTGGTTGTGGGTAGGGGGAGTGAAGAATTGTAGTGAATGGGTAGGAAATGAAGAAAGAGGAAGACCAAGAGGCATGAAAAGCCCCTTTCTCTCCTCAGGGGAGCTGTAGACTTGAGGGAGTAGAGAAGAGGTACCATGATTTGAGGTTGGGACCACAACGTGGCTGGCTTCCTCAAAGCAAAGCCTTGAATCAGCCATGCTCAGGGACCACCCTCCTCATGGCCTCCCATTTGGTGTTGGCTGGTAGATCAGGCTGAAGGCTATAGATGAGCCATCTGTCTACGTGGGCCTTACCCTCACGTGGTTGGCTATGCACACTTTACTGGGGAAGTCTTCCAAGCACAGGCTTCTTAAACAGGAAGACCCTGGGCTGTCTTCATATGAACTAGCTCAGTGGAACTGATGGAGGTAAAGATAGCAATAGCAAGGTCATGGAGGTGGGGTAGTGCTCAATGTGGGAAGCAGGAGGAATAGAGATGCAGTTGGAAAGATGGACAGGGGCCAGATCATGAAAGGTATTATGTCCTATGAGATGTAGTTTGGGCTATATCTTATAAGAAACAAGAAGGTATTGCAAAAGAGGGGACTACATTTTTACTCTGACCAGTTGTGTGAAAGATATATTTGAATGGGGCCTTACTGGAGTTGGGCAGTACGTGGTGTCCAGGAGAGAGGAGAGCCTGAATGGGGGAAGAGATAGGAATGGAAGAGACTGATTTGGGAAAATTTTTAAGTAAGATTGTCAGGGTTTCATGACTGCTGAACTCATGCTCATATTGAGTACCCACTGTGTGCCAGGCACTGGGCTCAAAGCTGGTTATATACATCTTAATGAATTCTTCTTGTTTAAGAAGCCTCTGCCATGAAGCTGCCATGAACAATAAAATATTATCCCCATTAAGCAGATGAAGAAACTGGAGCTTTTATTGGTTTAGTAAACTTAGATTGAAGATACACAGCCTGCAAGCAGCAGAGCCGTTATTCAATTCCTGGTCTGTTTTACACAAAAGCCTTGATCTTAACCAGCATCCAGTACTGACTCCCAACATGTGGGGTTAGGAAGAGGGAGGGGTCACTCTCAGGTTTCTTGCATAGGTAGCTTAGGAAACTGAGATAGAAGACATAGGAGGAGAAGCGAGTTGTAAGGAGGATGGGTTCAGTTTTGGACTCTAGCTTGGGTGTCAGAGCATGTTTAGGGGGCCTGTCAAGTGAGGAACATATTAAGTCTCTCTGTGGCCCCATCCGTTTTTCTCTTCTTGAGCTATATGGTGGGCCTTGGAGCACTCAGTGTTTTGGTTTCTGACTCCTCTCCCCACTCTCCAGGGTGAGGGTGATCAGGCTCTCCTAAGAGGAAGCCTATCACCTGGACAACACCCTACAGGAAGACAAGGCTGAGAGGCCTATAGAAGTCAAGGACGATGGCTGACAGGCCTCAGGGAGCTAGCCCTTTGGTTCTGATGAAGGGGCAAATGTGGATGAAAAAGAGAGTCAGGACCTTTCCCCAGCATGACAAACTCCTCAAGGATCAACTAACACCAAGAATCTGTCAGGTCATGCTCAGATGGCCCAGACTCCCTCAAATCCAGGCTGTGGTGTCTAACCCAATTGCCACATTTGAGACTGCAGGGTCAGCATGCATAGATTTCCAGGAGTGCTCTTACTGGGCCTGAGGTTACATTGAGACGTATTAGTGGATTGGAGTGAAGCCCACCTTCTCCAGGGGAATCCACAGGGAGGACTTTGATTCTCAGCCCAGCACTCTTGTGGGAGGCCTCTGTGTAGGTGGCCTCCCAGGCTCCCATGAGTGGGATGAGAGACTGATGGACCCTCTGTTCTCTGAGGGACAGGAATAAGAAGCACTTCGTTCCTCAGAAACATGTCAGTGCTTTCTGTCTCACCTTTCAGTGGGAGCAGGGCCTATGGGCCAGAAAAAAACATCAAAGAAAGCCTAAGAACTTAGGGACTTCTGGCAAAGAGGTTGGAACTAAGTGTTCTGATGACACCACCCATCCAACCCCCTCAGCACAGGGGCTCCTCAAACTCGGGATACTCTCTCCTCCCAGACTGGTCTCTATCGAGAAATCTTTCTAGCCTCTTCTCACCTCTGGGCTGTCCTTGGCCTCAGGTAAAAACCTCAGCCCTCTCACCCCTGCCCTATTGATCTTTCAGCTCCTGTCCTTCCTCCTGAACAGTCAGGGAATCACCAGCTTGCCCTGTTTCTCCTACCCACTCTGTATTTTTTACCAGAAGGGGTGGCCGGGGCGCCAGAGATAATCAGGAAGAGTGTCTCATCCAAGAACCAGTGGATCTCTTACTCTGCAAGTGTTCCAGCTCACGAACTGGGTGAGGCTGAGTCCCTGAGGTAGATCAAGGGAGAAGGGGAAATGGCTGAAGGTAGCTGACCAGCTGGGTGACCTTGGGCAAGTGTCCTCTCTCTCTGGGTCATGATGACCTAGGCTGGATGATCTCTGAGGTATCTTTCAGCTCTTAAGAGTGTAGGGGAAGGAACATAGGGAAGGCTGGGGATGCTGGAGGCTCCAGGAAGGGACAGACAGGCCCATCCCTGCCTCTAACCACCTTAATTCTGCCAGCAGGAGGAATGGCATCAACTGTGGCCCAGCTACTTTTCATCCAGCTTGTTCTAGGACCAACTCTGGTCCTGGGTGTCAATCTGCGGAGTGCCATCAAGAACTTCGACCACTTATTCATCGACTTCCCTCGGGTTGAGTACTCAAGCAATTTCCAGGGCTACTGTAATGGCATTATGAGCTATGTGCGAGGCAGAATGCAAAACTGGGATTGTCCAAAGATCCATTACTTGGTACATGTCTCCTTTAAATCCATCCGGAAGTACTGCAAACATAGTGAGAACTTCTGTGAGAACTACAACCAATACTGCACATTAACCAAGGACTCCTTCCCCCTCACAATCTGCCAACTGTCGGACAAACAGCCACCTACCAGCTGCTACTACAATACTACCCTAACCAACCAAAAGCTCTACCTGCTCTGTTCCCGCAAGTATGATGCTGATCCAATAGATATTATTGGCATCTTCTAGGGAAGGGGAGCTTTAACTCTGAACTACCCTCCCATCTCTGCCACTGTGAGCCAGCCTTTCCCCATTCCCAAAACACCAATCCCTGGCACAAGGCTTCCTTCCTGACACCCAAGGCAGGCAGAGTCCTGTTCTCCCAAGAGACCAGGTAGGCAGGGAAAATGTCCAGAGCTTTGGCCACCATACAAAGTCATACTGTCTTCTAGGCTCTTTCCAACTTGTCTATAGCACCTCTCGCCCCCCCATTCTCCTTCTTTCAGTGACAGTTTTACCAACCCAAGGAGCTGATTCTGTCCAGTTGGCAGTGATGTCCATCCACTGGGCCAGACTCTGAATCCTGGATGGAGGCCCAGGACCTCAACTCACACCATGGCAACAAGTACCCAGCTTCCACATCTCACCTCTGCATCCTCACCACACTTCTTTTCTCAGTCTTCCCCTACTTCCCTGTAACTTTCCCCCTCAGTCACCCACACAGCGAGAACCTCTAGCTATAGGAAACTCCCTGAGACACATTTTAGCCTCACTTCCCCAGAACTCCCCTGCGTTCCCAGTCTGCTCCTCTTTATGAAATCATTGATTCTCCCTTTTATGTAACCTGCTCTTGCCTTCCTCCTTCTACCATGGAGTCCAGCATGCCTTTCCCCAACATCCTCAGCCTCCACAGTTGCCCTGTCTTCCTTTTCCCAACCTCTTTTCCTTCCATCCTTCTCACTTTGGCTCACTGGATTTCAGGTTATCCTCTCTGGCTCATTCCCCTAAAGGTTCCTACTTTCTTTTCCTTCCAGTAAGCTCCTCTCAACATCCTCTTAACTTCAGGTTCTGTGACTGACAAGACGGGGGATGAGGTGAGTCTAGCTATAGTCACATAAAGTTTTAAAACCACATCTGAGTTATGGAAGATATAATCATTGGGAGAAATGGGATGAAGGGTACATGGGACCTCTCTGTACTATTTTTGCAACTCCCTGTAAATCTATAATCATTTCAAAATAAAAAGCTAAAAAACACACATTTAACTCAGTTCTGATTTAATTTTTTTTCCCTCGGTGCACCTGGACTCATACTCTCGGAGGCCTGGAGGCTACCACCTCTGGCCATCTTCCAGGGCTACCCTTAACAGTTGGTAACGTCTTCTGCTCTGTGTGTACCATGATGGAAATGAAGTAGAGTAAAACTCAGTTCTGGGCTGGATACTGAAAGCAGATTCTCCCTTCTCCCCAGCTCTGGGGTAAACTCATAATAGGAGTCAGACTGAGTAGATCCTTGCCCCACTCTAGTTGGCTTCTATTTATTCCTTCAACAAAACCTGGATTGCAACAAATAAGGAAGGTGGAGGGACAGGCAAGTTTCCAGTAGGTGGTATGGCGAGACTTCAGCTCGCTTACTTTGGACATGTCATCAGGAAAGACCAATCACAAAAAAGGACATTATGATTGGTAAAGTAGAAGGCAGTAAAAGGAACGAAACCCTCAATGAGATGGATTGACTCAATAGCCAAAGTAATGGATTCAAACACAGCAACAATCATGAACACGGCACAGGACTGGGCAACAGTTTCATTCTGCTATCCACAGGGTCCAGAGCTGACTGGAGGGCGCCTAACAACAACGTGTCAAATCAGGAATTGCTACTCCCTTTTGAGTCGCTAGGAGTCAGAATCAACTTGAGGGCAATGGGTTTGGTTTTTTTTTTTGGTCTTGGGAGGTAGAGGGGTGGATACCAGCAATGTGTGAACACAAGTAGAAAATACTTTTGTCTCTGTATCTGTTTCATCTCTTATCTCCAGATATATCCCCCAGTCCCATTCTTAGAAGCAATTGTTGAGGGAAATGTTAATTTATGGCTGGGAGGTATGATGCTGAGTAGGGAGATGGCTGGAAACACTGAAGCTTCTCTCATTTCCCTCTTTCTACACCGGTGGGTCCATCTGTTCCTCATCCTAATGTACAACAGGGGTCATTAAGTGCTGCACACACAGATGTTTGTTGTTTCCCACATACCCTTGTGTTGAAGATATAGGGTCAGGGGCTGGCAGGCTAAGATGAGGCTCCTTTCTACTTGTTCTTATTATAGGTGCCTGCACGCTTGTAGCCACTCACATAGCCTGAGTTGTCAGTCACCTCTTCCCGTCCTTCGAGGCCTTTGCTTTTGCCACTCTCATCAAAGCGTTCCTTGTGGGAGCCAGTGTACTTGCTGGTGTCTGTCAGCGGGTCCACTCCGTCCACTGTTGTTGCTTTCTGCAAATCAGAGGATCAGTTTTTGCCCTCTTCCCTCCCCTGCACCGTCACACCCCCTGTTCCTAAAGACAGGCTTAGATACTGCTAGTGTTCAGTCTTCTTGCTCTGCTTCTGGAAGAGTGCTGCCTTCTTAGTGCCCAGATGCAACTGGGGCAGGAGCCATCCACTCATGAGGGAGGAGGAGTCTGGTATGTGGGAATGTGTGGAGTATGTGGGAGAAGGGAGGGTGGATTTTTCTGTTTCCAGAAGAGTTATTCTGACCAGGCTGCTGACAGGGGAGTTCAACACCAGACCCAATATGCAAGGTCCCTCCTATTGGGAAGGACCTATTTGAAACCCAGAATGTAAAGAGCTTTTAGCACAGAGGGACAGTTAGAGAAAAGAGGATGAGGGAGCCAGGAGGTCAGAGTTTAGATCTTGTTTTAAGAACAGAAAGAGCAGTAGAGATCAGGCATCAAGCCCTCTGCATTCTGTGTCCCCACAAAGCCACTAAGCCCTAGTTGCCTGGACTCAGATACTGGAGCCTTGGAAACGAGTCTAAATTCTATTAAAACAGCTGTGAACTTCAGGCAGGTCATTTCTCGCATCTGGGCCACTGGTCCCTCACCTCTGAAAAGACTAGATGATCTCTAAAGTCTGTTCCAACACCAACAGTGCTCAAGAGGCTTTCTGCTCTGTCTCCCTATAGTTATGCCATTGGCAGGGGTTAGGGACATTTGAGGATGGAAGGGAAGACTAGGACAGCAGGGATTTAGGGAAGTAGGGGCAAGGGTTAGAGAAGAATTTTACTCACAGTAACACCAGTAGTGGCTGGATCTTTGCCCTCCATGAGTTTTATAAATGTTGTCCAGGGCTTCATCTGGGTTCTTCCCTTTGAACCATTTCTGGCCCAGCTCCTTCATTGCCTCCTGGAACTGTGCAAATGTGGTGGTTCGAGCATTCTTGACCCTGGGCAGTCAGACAGAAATCCAGGAACTCTGGAACATGAACCCATCCACCTTCCAAGGTCCATTCCTTCCCCTAGTTAGATTTGGCCTCTTTGGTCCTATCACTGGGTTTCTTGAGGACAGGAAATAGTATAGTGCAGGTATCCAGTGGGTGCTCAGTAGGCCCACTACAAATGTTCTGCCACATGAACCCTTAAATGTTTCACTACCGCAAGTGGCCATCTTAGATGCATCAATTGGTCCCAACCACTTGGAGTAAAGGAGAACGAAGAACACCAAAGACACAAGGAAAGTATTGGCCCAGGAGACAGAATGGGCCACATAAACCAGAGACTTCATCAGCCTGAGACCAGAAGAACTAGATGGTGCCCAGCTACCACCAATGAATGTCCTGACAGGGAACACAACAGAGGGTCCCTGATGCAGCAGTAGAACGATGGGATGCAGAACTCAAATACTAAGTAAGAAGACCAGACTTAATGGTCTGATTAAGACTGGAGGCACCCCAGAAAGCATGGCTCCTGGTCTCTCCATCACCTCAGAACTAAAACAATTTCCAAGGTCAACTCTTCAGACAGGGATTGGACTGGATTGTGGGACATAAAGTGATACTCGTGAAGAATGTGCCTCTTAGACAAGTAGATATAAGAGACCAAAGGGGCAGCTTCTGTCCAGAGGTGAGAGGGGAAGGCAGAGAGAGTTAGGAGCTCGTTGAATGTTCATGGGGAATCAGGGGCGGAGGGGAGGAGTGTGCTGTCACAGAATGGGGTGAGCGGTTGGGGTCTCATAACAATGTATGTTAAAAAAAAAAAAGTTCCACTACCTCATTCATTCTCTCCTCCCTGCCTCTCCGCCTCCTCACTCCCCTTCCATGCCTGTGCTTCATTGACTTTGCTAAACACGATGTCCATGTCAGTAGAGGTGACCATCTTGTCATCCATAATGGCACAGTCTTTGTATAGCTTGGAGAAGTTCTTGTTGTTCATTTCAGTACCACTGCTTGAAGAGTCTCCAAAGAGAGCAAACCTCTGGAATGTTTTCCCTACTTCTGATGCCATGGTCAACTGGAGGTGGGGGAGGACCTTAGGGGGGCAGGCTGGGGGGTGAGGGAGGAGGGGAAGGGAGGACTGGGGAGGAATGAGAATGAGGGTTAAAATCAGAATTAGCAGAGGGATCAGACCTCCTCCTCCCTGTTCTCTCTACCCTCTTCTCCCTCACTTCCCATCCCACCTACCCTAGCTACAGCATCAGTTTCCCTTTCCCAGCAGTAGTGATATTAGTGTGGGATCTTACAAACTGAAAATTCCTCCCCATCTGTCCCTCTTCCCCACCACTTTTGTGTGCCTAAGAGTGCCCTGAAGATGTCTGACCCTTCCCAGCCTGTGTGTGTGTGTGTGCAAATATGTGGGAGTCATCCGGTTGGGGAGATTGGCAAAGGGGAGACAGAAAGGGGAGGAGAGGCAAGCTTCTATGATCTTGGTAGCGTTTATGTGACATCACTTCCTGTCCCAACTACAGCCCTCATCTTTGAGGGAGGGGGTTTTTGGTCTCCTTACCTTACTTGCTGTATTGAACAAGCTGGTGAACCTTAGGTCATTCCTAGATGGTCAAACGTCCCTCATCATTGCATCCCAGTTTACCAGTGCTCTGGGGCCCTGTCAGATTGCCTTATGATCTGGTCCACAATAAAAGCTGAGGAGAGCCCAGGGAAGGGATTAATGCAAACAGATTGCCATGAGTGCAAAATTGCCCTCCTTCCTAGTAGTGACCAACATGGAGAATTCCACTGGCTTTGGCACATCAACCTCAACAGGATCGTTAGATGGCTTCTGTCTTTGTTGTCTACTGCTGCTATAACAGAAATACCACAAGTGGATGGTTTCAACAAATAGAAGTTTATTCTCTCACAGTCTAGTAGGCTAGAAGTCCAAATTCAGGGCGTCAGGAGACGGCTTTCTCTCTGCTGGCTCTGGAGGAAGGTCCTTGTCATCAATCTTCTCTTGGTCTAGGAGCTTCTCAGGTTCACAGACCCCAGGTCCAAAGGACACACTCTGCTCCTGGTGCTGCTTTCTTGATAGTATGAGGTCCCCAACTTCCTGCTCGCTTCGCTTTCCTTTTATCTCTTGTAAGATATAAGGTAATGCAGGCCATACCCCAGGGAAACTCCCTTTACATTGGATCAGGGATGTGAACTAAGGGTGTTACATCCCACTCTAATCCTCTTTAACATAATCTAATCTTGCCTCATTAACCACAGGCAGAGATTAGGATTTTACAACACATAGGAAAATTACATCAGTCACAAAACGGAGGACAATCACACAGTACTGGGAATTATGGCCTAATCAAGTTGACACATATTTTTAGGGGACACAATTCAATCCATGATAGCTTCCAATATTGAGAATGGCATATCTAGGATTCAAATCCCCATCCAGATACATGCCACTCCAAGGATGATGCTTTTTCCACTAGTTAGTAGAGGACCGACCTTGGAGTATTGCATATCTGGGTAGGTCTGGGTGAAAGGGGCCAGGATGAGTCTCAGACTGAACTCTCTCAGATAGGTTTCTATGCAGGTTAAGTACATTTCTTAGGGGTTTCTTTCTTTGACCTTTTCTCTGGCCAGAGGTCCTACAGATGGATGAACTTCAGGGATACTAAAATGGAGCAACTAGGTTGGTGACTTTCATCCTATCTAATCAGTCACCAGTTATTAAATGTTTTTTTACCTTGTCTTACAAATTCATTCCTTTCTTTCCATTCCTATTGCTTCCACCCTTTTTCAAGTCCTTGTTATCTCACATCTGGATGACGACCCTGGCTTCTAAATGGCTTCTTCCCCAAGTCTAATGCTTCACCCCTACCCACTGCATAATCCATCTTTATATCTCTCCCATCAGATTACTTTTCACAAAACCATTTTTTCTACCCATTACTCCTGCTTGAGAACGTTCTATGATTCTTCATTGCCAAAACTTTTTGCCTGACATTCAAGGATCTACACAATTTAGCCCCAATCTACCTTACCAAACATCACCCACCTCTCAACAAATTATTTTTCAGCTCTCTATGGGCCATAATGGCATAATCATTATACTCTTGAGAAGCTACCTGGTAGTGGAAAAAGCACAGACCTTGGAGTGGAATGGATCTGGGTGGGGATTTGAATCTTTTGTCATTTGCTACCTGAGTGGTCTTGGGAAAGTCACTAAACATCTCTGAGCTTCAGTTTCCTCATCTGTACAGTGGGGATAATAATACTTACCTTACAGTATTGGGAGATAATACATGGCAAGCATCTTCCACATAGTAGCTAGCATTCAATTCTCCAGAGTAATTTGCGTATTTCTGCCTCCACACTTTCCCTCATGCTCTCTCTCAGCCTGGATAGAAAGCCCCTTCCTGTACTCAAATACTCCGTGGTTGCATTCCTCATAGGGTGGTTCACTATATGAACAGAGCCCTTTTCCTCCTCTGAATTATAGTAAGATAATTGTTCCCAACCCTTGGTCTGAGGCCTCCTGGGGTGAAGGTTTCTGAATTATTGATGGGGCCCTGGAATCCATATGTATACAGAGCATTGATCATCAATTGAGTAATGAATATGCCTTGCACATGTAGCTATTACTATATATACAGTTGTTATGATTCTCAGAGTACTGTACAAAGTTGTTTGAAAGTATTGCTGAATTCCTAGTTTGTCTTTAGGTGTTTTCTCAGTCAGGAGATACTAACACCATCATATGGGCATGGAAATCGCTGATCTTCCACTTGAAAAGGGTGAGAAACTACTGCTATAAAGGACTTATTATCTAAACAATTGATCATATATATATACATCATTTTTCTTGACTTTCTCTGTTTATTCCTTCTCTCAACAGTGTGATTCATAGGTTTCCACAGAGGGTATGGCTAGACTTCACACTTCTTTAAATTCCTCATATCATCTACACAGTGACTTGCACATAGCAGGTACTTAAAAATGCTGCTTAATTGAAGGTATAGTTTGAATCTGCTTCTGGCCCAAGCAAGGGAAGTTGGGCCACTTACACCGAGGCCAGGAGCTCCCCAGAGGAGGAACCCTATCTTATGGCAGAACCAGCCTCGCTTCTGCCCGCAGCAGGCTGGGATCCCTAGGCCTAGGAAGCAAATGGATCCCAGTGGAAATTTCCCACCTCCTCCCTGCCCCAGGCCCCTGCATAGGCCCCTTATCAGGTTCCCCCTGAGTCATCCTGACCCAGAGACTAATTTAGATGCTGCAACCTCCAGGTCTCCCTCCCTCCCTCCCCCATTCCAAGTAAAACTACTTTGGACATGTCAGAGAAGGCTGCAGGCAAAAGTTTTCTAGGCTCCCTTTCTTCCCCAGTTCCACTAGGGCTTGTGAAATCTCTCTCCTTTCTATGCATTTTTACTATGTTCCTAATTCCAGCAGGCTTTTTCCCTGTCCAGGAGTGTTAAACTGGGATCCAGAAGCGAGAGGGAACTAGGTGAGGAGCCAAGACTCCTGCTTCTGTGCCAGTTTATAGGAAATAGTTATGGAGGGAGTGGGGAAAAGCAATAGAGGAAAACAGGGGGATGTAAGAGGCCCTTTAGATTTGGGGGAACTGAAGGCTGAGTTTGATCTGACCAGTTCTCCTACTCTGGGTTACCTCTTCCCTCCTGGCCCCTCCTTTTTTCCAACAGACCCTGCCAAGTGGGGATGAAAGGGGCATTGATGTTCCTTGGATGGGGAGACGGTTGCGGGTGGTGGTTCCCAGGCAGGAGAGGAGGCCAATTTGGGGGTCTTGGGGGGGGGCTGTCTGTGCAGGCGTTGCAGTTGGCAGCTCCAGTTCCATTGGCCATTGTTCCCAACTGGCAGGGTGCCCAGCCCCCAAAAATGGCAACTTAGGAACCAGGCTGAAGGGGGGTAGTGGGGTTGGGATCCTGTTGGGGTGTGTGTGTGTGTGTGTGTGTGTGTGTGTGTGTGTGTGTGTAAGGGGGCAGGTGGGGAGAAATTCAATCTGGTTTCCTTTTGCCTAAGACAACTTCAAACGCCCTTAACCACATCAGCCATCCCATTCCAGGGAGCCTTCCTCTGAGGGGCACAGGGTGGGTGAGGAGACCGGGATGGCAAGCCACCCAGGCACGGAGAGACGCGGCAGTTCCTGAGACACCATCGCCTGGGCATGGCGATTCAGCCGGGCCGAGCTGGTCTCGCCCTCTTTCTCTGGGCCGGACTGGGAGGGGTTAGCGCCAAAGCCACAGGGTCTCTTGGGTCCCAGCCCGGGACACTGCGTCCTCCACAAGCCCCCACTCCACCCCAGCTGGCTAATCCCGCCTCTGCGCCTGTTTACCCGGGAGTCAGAGTCCTTGGGGGTCCCCGGCCCCTCCTCCAACCCCCTTGGGGCCTTGACCCGGGAGTCGCCGTTGGCCATCATCCTCCCACCCGCCCCCGCCTGAGATCTCCCTCTATTTATAGTGGTCCCCGGGGCTCCCCGCCCCCCACCCCGCCCCGGCCTTGTTTTCCTACTTCTCTCGGAGCAGCCGTCGGTACGCAGGAGAGAGGAGGTACCAGGACGCTGGGAGCCCCGGAGTCGGAGCTTCCGCGCCGTCGACGCCCCTGCACCCGCAGCTGGCACACCTGCCCCTCCCAGCGGGCGAGACCCCCGCCTCCTCAGCCGAGATTCCAGCCCACCTCCTCCTTCTTTAACCTAGCTCTCTGTTTCCGGGCAGACGTAATCTAAATCGTTGGGTGATCGCACTCTGGGTTTGTCTCCTCACCTCCCCGCCTCTACCCCTGACTCTGGGGACGAGGGAAGGAACCAGAGTGCGACAAGCAGATCCAGGTCACGGCTGGGGGCTGTGTTGAGGGGTGGGCATGGAGATCCTCCGCAGGGCTGAGGGATTCCTGCACACCGCCCACCGCCCCCTCGAGGGGGATGTTGTGGAGAGCCCGAGAAGAGCCACCCAGCAGTTTGCTTTCCTTAGAGTCCCCTCGAGCCCCAGCACAGCCCCTCCCGGAGCGGCAGGCCTCCCAGGGCGGGGTTAGAGGGGGGCGTGTTTACGGGGGTCCGGGGCGGGTCTGCCGGGAGCTGTGGGCCCGTGGGCGGGCCGGGGCGGGCCAGGGGCGGGTCTGTGGGGAGTCCGAGCCGGGGAGGGCCGGAGAGTCAAAGGCAAGTGAAGGTGGAAGCAGCCGCGGCGGCAGCAGGTAGGGGGAGGGGCAGCGAGGGGCCGTGGGGCCTGCGCGGCGCCGGCCGGGCCCAGGGGCGCTTTGATCCAGATCCCCGGGGCTGGCGGCTCGAGGGCAGGGGCCAGCAGGGAGTCGGCGCTCGGCCGCTGCGCACAAAGGCGGAGGCTCGGCGAGCGGTGGAGCGTGTTTGGGGCGGGAGTGAGGCTGGGTCTAGCGTTCAGGTCACTCGGCGCCGGCGGGCGCGCGAGGCTGTCGGTCGGTCCCCACGCCGACGGGCAGCATGTCCGGATTCGTGGGGACCCAGTTGGTTCCATACGTCCCACCCATCCCTTCCCAGCTGGCGCTCGGCCACCGCGGGCCGTCGGAGGAGGTTGGGAGGAGATTGTGGGACTGTACCCCCTCTTCCTGCCTGGGTTTCTCCACTTGCGGAACCTGCCCGGAGACTAGACTGGGTAGAGGAGAGAAGCGACGCGAGGCTTTTTTGTTTGTTTTTAAAATGGTGGAGGGAAACAGTCATGCTTTGCCACCTCATCTCACTCGAGAGCTGTCAAAAATCTTGGGGATCTCCTCGTTCCCCATTCTAGTTTGCAGATAGGAAACTGAGGCAAGAGTCGTTACTGACTGGGCCAAGCTCACACTGGTAGTGGCAGAGCCGGGAATCCAGAGGTTCTGACACAAGCCACGCTCTTCCCTCCACATCAGCACTTCCTTCTCTCCACCCCCAGCCTGGACTGATAAACCTGCTCTCTGCCCGCAGGCTCCTCTGGCTCCGTTGAAGCCTAGGGATGAGTGTTCTCTGGACTCCAGTGGCAGAGACTGGGGAGAGTTAGTGACCCGGGAAGGGTTAGTGACCCCGGGAGTCTGGGTCTGGGCTGAGGCTTTCTGTCCCTAAAGGGCCCAGACTCTGGCTCCAATGTCATTTACCTTATTGCTGTGTTTTTACAGACCCCAGAGCCTGGAGAACCCTGACCCCTAACCCCACGGCATCCAGCCAATAGGAGTTCAGTAAGTGACCCCACCCCTGGGCTTCTGGCTCCTGCCTCTGTGGGTCTGCACAGGTGCTCTGCTCCTCACCAGCCCCACTGTTGTGGAATGTCTTCTAATTTATTCACAGTCAGGAGGGAGAACCTTAGGAGGAAGAGAGGCAGGGTAGGTTGGACAGAGATGCCCCCCACCCTTGGTCATGTATTCTGGTCATTTTTGGCCCCTTCCCCTTTGAGCTGCTGACCTTGGGGCTTTAGCTGAAGGTGACAGTCAACTCTGAAGGTTCACTACCCTGTCCCTTGGTATCTTTGGAGTACTCAGTCCCTGAGCTACGAGTTTTACCCCCTACCTAACTGGTAGTGTGGGGTGGCCCCTAAATATAGCCTGGGAAACCTGAGTAGTGCTGTTGCCCCACCCTGGTATTTCCATCCAGGATGAGGGTGTTGAGGGGGCAGCAGTGGAGGTGGCCAGTCTGGAGAGAAGTGGTGTCCTGACTCTTTTTCCACAGCCTCTCCTCCCACTTGGCCTGGAAATGGAGCTGGGGGCAGGAAGGGTTGTGTGTGGGCCCTGGGGTACCTCCTGGGCCCCTCTGCACCCTGCATTGGGCTGAGAGAAGGAGCCAGACATTCTGAGAGGTGTGAGGGTAGTGAGGGTGGAGGCAGCCTCCTCCAGGCTTCTTGTTGCCTCAATCTGCCAGGCCACCATGGCGGAGCTGCAGGAGGTGCAGATCACAGAGGAGAAGCCCCTGTTGCCTGGACAGATGCCTGAGGCGGCCAAGGTTAGTAGAGACCCTTTGACTTCCCATACATAATTCTATACTGCCAAGCATCTCCTTTATCTTTTGCCTTCCCATGTCCACTGACCTCTTTCTAACCCACACTGCTAATTTCTCCACCTCTACCTATGTGTCTCTCCCCATCCACTGCAATTGGGAGTCCAGGCCCTTTCCTGTCACTACACTAAACTTCATCCTCTCCATGTCTCTTTTTGTCAATGTCTTTTTGTCTTTGGTCTCTCTTTATCTGTCTGTCTATCTGTGACTCTCTGTGGTTGTGTGTGTGTCTCTCCAGGAGGCTGAGTTAGCTGCTTGAATCCTCCTGGACTAGGGACAGGTAACAGCTTAGGGGGCAGTCCAGAGTAGGAGGAGGGGCTCTCCTCTCCCCTAGTCCAGAGAGGGCCCCTATCTGGCTCTTTCTCTTCTCTTTGCTTCCTTTCCTTCTATTCCAGTCCTTTCCCTTCCCCCACTTCTCCCCTCTAGTTCCTTTCTTTTCCTTCTCAGAGTTCCCTGATGCTCTCCACTTTTTCATTATTGTTTTCCATCCACAAACTCATATTCCACGGTCATATTTTACTAAACTAAATTCTTGATGACCCTATTTTTAACTCTGTTTCCTTTTCTCTCCCCCCTCCCTGACTTTTGCAGGGCTCCGAACCCCTGAACCCCTGGTTTTGTCCTGTTGGAACCCCTGCTGAGAATTTGCATTTCTAACAAGTTCCCAAGAAGTTATACTTAAGAATCAGCTAGGGATCTTGTTAAACTGTAGATTCTGATTCAGTATATCTGGAGTGGAAATGCAAATTCTCTTCAGGGAACTTGTTAGAAATTTAAATTCTCAGCAGGGGCTCGAACCTGAAGGAACCCAGGTTTGAAGCCCTGCTTTTGTGTAGCCCTTTCTCCTGCCTTTTTTTCTCTCAGCCTAACTGCTACCTGGAGCCCTGGTAGCGCAGTGATCAAGAGCTATGGCTGCTAACCAAAAGGTCAGCAGTTCGAATCCAACAGCTGCTCCTTGGAAACTCTATGGGGCAGTTATACTCTATCCTATAGGGTTGCTATGAGTCGGAAACAACTCAGTGGCAACAGGTTTGGTTTTTTATAATGTTTTTTTAACTCCTCCTGTTGTTGACCTGTTTTTCTGCAGACTCACTCAGTGGAGACTCCTTACGGCTCTGTCACTTTTACTGTCTACGGCACCCCCAAACCCAAGCGCCCAGCGATACTCACTTACCACGATGTGGGACTCAACTGTAAGGACCTTCACTCCCCCTCCCACTCCTTTCTGGGAAGATGCTGGAGGGGAGGGCAAAAACCCAGTGTGAGGGTGAGGGGTCAGTGTGGGCAGGAAGGCAGCCATGTGGCATAGCAAGGAGAAGGTTTCTCCTAGTCTGACTGTGGCATGACAGAAAGAGGGTGGGTTCTGACCCGGGGGACACTTTCCCTGTCTGATTCTTCTGTTGGGGTGATGTGGGTTCTCTTTAGATAAGACCTGCTTCCAGTCGCTGTTTCAATTTGGGGATATGCAGGAAATCATTCAGAACTTCGTGCGGGTTCATGTGGATGCCCCTGGAATGGAAGAAGGGGCTCCTGTGTTCCCTTCGGGGTGAGAATTAGGTCGTTATCCTGTGAACAGACTGAGACACAGGGCTGGTGTAGGGAAGGTTGAGCCAAGAGAGGAAGGAAGGGAGGAGGGCAATGGTAATTGGGGAGAAGATGAGTAGGGCATTTCGAAGTGGGGGGAGCTGGGACAGGTCGGTATCTTTCTTAACATTCTCCTCTTCCCCAGATATCAGTACCCGTCCCTGGATCAGCTTGCGGACATGATCCCTTGCATCCTGCAGTACTTAAAGTGAGAGGCCTGGGGACCCCTCCAAACCAGAGTTCCCTTTCCAACACGAGGAGACCCTTAGAACTCCTGAGTCCACCATAGTTCCTGGGCTCTTTCTGGTCTCTGGCCTAGCAAAGCCTTCCCTCTCTATGCTCCCACCTTGATTGCTGAGAGGAAGCTGAGTAGGTTTACAAAACTGGCTAGAGTCAGCAGAGTAGCCTTAGTGCTTGGCCTTGTTTCAGGCTGAGGAGGGGCTCTCTGATCAGGAAGCTAGGGGGGAAGAGGAGGGGGTGCTATAATCCCTGAGGAACCAGATAGACCTGTCTCATCCTTCTCCCTTCCTCCACACACCTGTGGGAACTGAGAGCCCTGTGTGTGTGAGACAGAGTGGGAGGAGGAAGAGAAAGCCAGAGGAGGCTTCCTTGTTTGCAAGGTGAGGTGCTGATAACTCCTGGGCCCTACTCTTGACTTGGCTTTTCCTAGGGACTATAGCCCTGTGCAGCTCTGGTTTACCTCTTTGCCACCCCCACCCCCTTCCTTTCTCACTGTTGTTCACTAAAGCTGTGTCCTCTTTCACATCTTGCTTAAAGTTCCCCTCTTCCCATTCCTCTAGAGGAACCAGGAAGTAAAACAGAACAAGTTGAACTAGCTCCTGAAAAATGAGATAGCAAAGAGCTATATAGGAAAACAGTGTGTCTTGGTTGGGTGGGTGGATGGGTGTTTCTTTCCAAGGTACTAGCTCTCAAATAGGGAGCTGGGGATAGACTTCAGGGATCTACACTCACTACTAATGCCAGTCTTTAGCTCCTTGGCATCTTCCTTTTTCAGCATTCCCCAAAGGAAGGTCACTTTCTATCCTTTGTACCCATGGCCTTGGGAAGGAGGGTGAGGAGTGTGATGGGACTGGGCTGTAGCAGGTCTTGGACATCAGGGCCCATTAGACATGCATTCTCTCTCACAGTTTCTCTACCATAATTGGAGTTGGTGTTGGAGCTGGAGCCTACGTTCTGTCGCGATATGCTGTAAGAAATAAAAACTCCTGAAGATAATGGTGATGGAATAGTTTGGAAAAGGATAGTGAGGATGGCAGCACAACTGGAAGAATGTAATC